TCCACATTCTCTATGCTCCCAGCTTTTGTGGGCTGTCACCCATGCTGGGGTGACTGGGGTGACAATATTTTCTGCTCCTGTAAGTAATCCCTCACCCACACTCCTGTAGAAACCCCAATAAAACTCATTGGTCCACCTTGCAGTTGGTTTGGTCCGTCATGGGCTTCCTACCTGGGTGAGCAGATAAGGAAGCTGCATCTCCCCAGGAAGTTGTCTTACTGCAGCTGCCTCACCAGTCGGCTCCATTCTCTTATTAGTGCCTTCATAAAACAGAAAGCTTAAATTCTTGTAAAACCCAGCTTATTTATTTATTTTTTCTTTCATGGACTGTAAGGGGGTAAGGTTTGTGTCTAGATGGTTTTGTGCTTTGGTGTATGGATGGTCCCCTGGCCCAGCACCATGTGTAGTAAACACTCCCTCTCCCCACCCCCCAATGTCTCACTCTCTTAGTGAGCAGATTTGGTTATTCATTGGCGGGGGGTGTCTAGTTTTGTGTTCTCTATTTACACCACTGATCAGTTCTTATATTCTTTCCATATTCTGTCTGGATTATGCTACAGCTTTAGAGAAAATCTTTTCTTTTTTTGGTTTTCTTCCCCTTGCTGTCTTGGAACTCACTATGTAGACCAAGCTGGTCTCAAACTCACAGAGATTGATCTGTCTTTGCCCAAGTACTCAGGTCTTATGTGGATATACGTGGCCCCACATTGGGAGCCGTGTGTAAAGAGTCTTTCTTTGTTCCATCTGCCAGCTTCCAAATTATAACATGGAGATTTCTATGGGTCGCTATGAAAGTTTTATTTATTTATTTATTATTTATTATGTATACAATATTCTGTCTGTGTGTATGCCTGCAGGCCAGAAGAGGGCACCAGACCTCATTACAGATGGTTGTGAGTCACCATGTGGTTGCTGGGAATTGAACTCAGGACCTTTGGAAGAGCAGGCAATGCTCTTAACCTCTGAGCCAACTCTCCAGCCCCATTTTTAAAAGATTTATTTATTTATTATATATACAGTGTTCTGTCTGCATGTATCGCTGCAGGCCAGAAGAGGGCACCAGATCTCATTATAGATGGTTCTGAGTCACTGTGTGGCTGCTGAGAATTGAACTCAAGACCTGTGGAGGACCTGTTAGCCAGGACTCCTAACATCTGAGCCATCTCTCTAGTCCCCTGAAAATTTAGCCTTAGCTTAGGCTTGTTTCTAACTAGCTCTTTTTTTTTAAGATTTATTTATTGATTATGTATACAACATTCTGCCTCCATGTATGCCCGCACGCCAGAGGAGTGCCAGATCTCATTACAGATGGTTGTGAGTCACCATGTGGTTGCTGGGAATTGAACTCAGGACCTCTGGAAGAGCAGTCAGTGCTCTTAACCAGTGAGCCATCTCTCCAACCCTCTAACTAGCTCTTATGACTTAAATTAACCCATTTCTATTAATCTATGTGTGGCCACACGGCTTGTGGCTTTTACCTACTCCTGCTTCCCTGCTTCCTCTGCATCTGGCTGTTGAATTCCCGTTTCTTCTTCCCAGAGCTGAATGTCTGAAAGTCCCAGCCATACTTCTCATCTGTTTATCTTTTTTTTTTAACATTTATTCATTTATTTTTTACGTGCATTGGTGTTTTGTCTACACGTACATGCCTGTATAGGGGGTCAGGAATTGTAGTTACAGACAGTGTGAGCCTCAGTGGGTGCTGGAAGAGCAGTCTGTGCTCTTAACCTCTGAGCATCTCTCCAACCCTGGCCATTTTGTTTTTTTTTAATTAAGCCAATCACAGTGACATATCTTACACAGTATAATCAAACATCTTGCAACACTGGGATTAAGGTGTGTGCCACCACACCTGCCTCCATGTATAGATTTATACCTAAGGTTTGTATCTAAGTGTTCATATTTTAGATGCTAAGTCATGCTTTGCTTTTAATTTTGAGGTCAAAACAACAAGTCCCCATTTATACTTTCCCCACATATTTCAAGTATTTGTGAATGAAAAAAACAAAAAACAAACAATGCCTGAGATTTGTCTTAAACTATCTAAAAGTACAGTGAAACAAGATTGCACAACCTGAACAGAATAAAGCTGAGTGGCTTTTGTTGTTGTTGTTTGTTTATTGATTGGTTGGTTTCTTTGTTTTTTTGGGGGGGGAGGGACGGGGGTTTTGAGACATGGTCTTTCTGAGTAACAGTCCTGATTGTTCTGTATACCAGGTCGTCCTGGAACTCACAGAGGTCCACCTGCCCCTGTCTCCTAAGTAGTGCTGGGATTAATAGCATTCACCAGCACCACCGAGCTGAGTTTTGTATTTTGGGTTTCAATATACTATTTTGCTTTTAAGCTTTGTGTAAATCTGAACATTTTAAACTAAAACATTGCAGGGTCCAGGGATGTAACGCCACTGGTATAGTGCTTTGTCCAGTGTGCCTGTTAGTTTTTATCACCATGATACAAGTTAGAGTCATTGGGAAAAGAGAACCTCAATTGAGAAAATGCCCCTGAACAGACTGGCCTGTGGGCAAGCCCATGGACATTTTCCTGACTGATGACTGATGTGGAAGGGCCCAGCCCACCGTGGACAGTACTACCTCTGGGCAGGTGGTCCTGTGTGGTATAAGAAAACAGACTGAGCATGACATAAGGAACAAGCCAATAAGCAGCACTCCTCCATGGCTTCTGCATCAGTTCTGGCCCTCACCTGTACCAGGGTTGGACTGCTGGCTGGAAGAATAAGCTGGAATAAACCCTTTCCTCCCCGGGTTGCTGTTGACCACCGCGACATAAGCCCTAACTGAGACGGCTGCTATGCTCATGACCTCCAGCGCTGCGTACAGCTGGGGGTAATAGACACCTGGGCCCCATGGTTTGGGAGATGGAGGTCATCTCAATACATAGCAGAATAAGCCCCTGGGATACGTGGAGCCCTGACTTATTTATACAGAATGACTGGTTGGAGAGGAGTGGTGGGAGCACCCTCCTCCTCTGTCATCTCATTTACCTGAGTCTTTCACCCAGCATGAAGAACAGACTGGAGCCACACTTCAGAGGACCATAAAAAGGATGTGCTGGCGTGATGCCACAGTACACTTGCTGACGGAGGCATAATTTTATATTCTCAGTTAAGGACGACAGTGAGTGGATGCACTTACTATGTCACCCAGGTTCTCCCCAGCAAATCAGACGGTCTCATCCCACAGAGGGAATGAGCAGGCTGGACTCCACCACATGAATAAACAGTCTTGGATCTGGGAGGGAATTTAGAGGTCATGCAGGTGAGGGTGCCTGACATGGCCACACAAGACTGAGGACCCAAATTTGATCCCTGGAGGTCACGTAAGAGGGAAGGAAAGGCTGATACCCTTGTTCTCATGAACCTTCTCTGGTGAGAGAAGGGGCACTAAACAACTGAAAATGTGGATCAAGCAGGGCCAGAGATGCAGCTCAGCAGCAGGAAGCTTGCTGTCGAGAGCATGGATAAGATCTAGGCTACATAGATCTTTAGCACTGAAAAAAGGAAGAAGAAAGCTGGGTGGTGGTGGCGCATTCCTTTAATCCCAGCACTTGGGAGGCAGAGGCAGGTGGATCTCTGTGAGTTCGAGGTCAGCTGGTCTACAGAGTGAATTCCAGGACAGGCAGGGCTACCCAGAGAAACCCTGCCTCGAAAAACCGATAGATAGATAGATAGACAGACAGACAGACAAAATAAACATGATGGTGCCGAAATGCACAGAGGCGGCAAAGCACGCGAGCAGTTGGGGATGACCTTAGCTGTGAGGTGATGCACTGAGGACGAGGGAACCAGAGGCAGAAAGTGAGAGTCACAGACAACTGTGGTTCCAGCACCTGAGGGGCTGAGGCGACTGGTGTAGAGCCCTAGGAAAGGTGGGACCTGAAGAGTTGAGGTCTATGGGTAAGACTTTAGGTTACTGAGAGAGTGACCTCAAGGGTGACTGTGAGACCCTGGCCTCTTCTTCCTTTTCCCTTTCTGCGTCCTGGCCACCGGGGAAGAGCTTTCCTCTATAGGCCTAAGACAACAGCCCATGGTCGGAAACACAAAACCTTGGCTAAGCTGATGAGTCAGCGATGTGCTGCGACAGCAATGAGCGCTCTTAGATCATCCACCCTCCAAATGTAGGATGCCCCAGAACTCAGTCCTGATTTCCCTCTAAGTCACAGCTTTTGTGGCCTCCTCTGGTTTCAGGATTTTGGTTACAATGCACATACTGATGAGTCCCAAGTTATTTCTAGCCTGGAACTCTCACATGAGCTTGGGTCTCATGCAGTCAGCTGCCTATTTGAAGTCTCCCTGTTGGCGGAAGCTCCTCAAGTACAACATGTCCCAAACTGCGTTCCTTTCTTCATCTACTCCTGTTCAGGCACACCCTTTCAACCTTCTCAGTGTATGGCAGCTCCTCCCATCCCAAACCAATGCTGTGCCAGCCATGGCAACAACGCTCCTGTAAGTCTAACATTTGGGAAGCTAAAGCAGGATGATTTCTGTGAGTTCCAGACCACCCTAAATGACAGAGAGACCCTGTTTCAAGGGAAAAAAATAACCCAAAACCCAAAAAACCCCAAATGATGTGGGATTCCCCTCTGTATGCTGTGAATATGTTTTATTACCATTGGTTAATAAAGAAGCTACTTCAGCAAACACACACACACACACACACACACAGAGAGAGAGAGAGAGAGAGAGAAAGAGAGAGAGAGAGAGAGAGAGAGAGTGTAGTAGGTGGCGTCAGGGAGACACCATGTAGCTGCTGAATGAGAAAGACGCCCGGAACCTTTCCGGTAGGCCACAGTCTCGTGGTGATACACAGATTAATAGAAATGGGCTAATTTAAGATGTAAGAGTTAGGTAGGAATATGCCTAAGCCGTTGGCCAACCAGTGTTGTAATTATTATAGTTTCTGTGTGATTACTTGGGTCTGGGTGGCCGGGAAATGAATAAGCAGTCTCCATTTACAGCAACACCCTCCCCAGGATTACTTACAAGAATATCCGTATTTTCAAAATAACTCCTCCAGTATGGCCTGATTTTCCTCTGTCCGCCAATGTCCCATACATTCAGTTTAAAACCTTGTGACTGTACACTTTTGATGTTAAAACCCTGAAACAAATGGGAAAAACAAAACAAAACAAAATAAAAAGACCAATTAATTCTTACAGTTATGTGTAATAGCGCACAGAAACTGGGGAGAGATCCCGTGATTTCAAGTATACAACACACATGATGCCCCGCTAAACTATACAGTCAGAAATTCTTATTTTATTTTTATTTTTTGAGACAGGGTCTCACTAAGCTACTAAGCCAGAGACTACAGTTCTGGCTGTACTGGAACTCACTATGTATCAGACTGGCTGCAAATGCCTGCTTCTGCCTCTCAGATCCTGGGATTAAGGGACTGTGCCACCACCCCCTGGCTAAGGCACAGGGATTTTTTTTTTAATATTTTTATTTTTTGTTTTTTTTTGAGACAGGGTTTCTCTTTAGTTTTGGAGCCTGTCCTGGAGTGCTCTGTAGACCAGGTTGGCCTTGCCTTCTGCCTGTCTCTGCCTCCCGAGTACTAGGACTAAAGACGTTGCCACCACTGTCCAGCAAGGCATAGGAATCTTAATAGTTACTCTTTCTATTAGTTCTGAAGTATTCTGTCAGATGTGATACAAAGTGATAGTGTTAATACTGCAAATGGCTTACTGTGATAATAAAGAAACACACTTACAAAGTTTATTTCATTCAGTAGAATCACTGTTAATAATATCAAGGCTACAAGGCTACTTTCTTTCTCTTTATTCTGAGTCAAGCTCTCAGTGTAGCCCTGACTAAACAGGAAGTTGCTAAGTAGCAGAGGATGGACCCCGTCTTCCCGCCTCCCTTCTCAAACACTGGGTTAGAGCTGTGTGCTGCCACACCTGGCTCACATGATCTTTTCATCTTCTTTATTTCAAGACAGTGTTTCTCTGTGTAACAACTCTGGCTGTTCTAGAACTTACTTTGTAGACCAGGCTGGTCTCAAACTCACAGAGATACCCCTGTCTCTGCCTCCTGAGTGCTGGAATTAACGACATGCACCATCACAGCCTGGCCAATACTACACACACACACACACACACACACACACACACACACACATATATGTGTATATATATATACATATATATATATACATATATATGTATACACACACATACACACACATTATCGGATAAGGAAGTAGGGAGCTTGCCTAGTATGCATGGGCCCTGGGTTCCATCTTTCCAAAGACATGGAAAAATATGTACTATGTATATCTGTATACTTGGATATTACTAAGGATAATGAGACATGAGATTACTATGATTAACACAGACCCCTCTCCATGAGACCTTCAGGATGATAAGTTTAACAGGATACTACATGTAAGTGATAGAAAACAGAAGCTGGGGGCTGGAGAGATGGCTCAGTGGTTAAGAGCATTGCCAAAGGTCCTGAGTTCAATTCCCGGCAACCACATGGTGGCTCACAACCATCTGTAATGAGATCTGGTGCCCTCTTCTGGCCTAAGGCATACACATAGACAGAATATTGTATACATAATAAATAAATAAATATTAAAAAAATCTTTACTTTAAAAAAAACTCAGAAGCTGGATAAGGAAAATGTGGTAGATTTACACGATGGATTACTACTCAGTAGTAAAAATTAATGTCATCTTGAAATTTGCAGGCAAATGGATGGATCTAGAAAAAACCATTTTAAGTGAGGTAATCCAGACCCAGAAAGACAAATATAATATGTATTCAACTCATAAGTGGCTTTTAGACATAAAGTAAAGAAAAACCAGCCTACAGTTCACAACCCCAGAGAAACTAGACAACAAAGAGGACCCTAAGAGAGACATACATGGATCTAATCTACATGGGAAGTAGAAAACGACAAGGTCTCTTGAGTAAATTCGGAGTGTGGGGGTCATGGGCGAGGGTAGAAGGGGAGAGGGGAGGAAGGGGGAGCAGAGAAAAAGGTATAGTGCAATAAAAACAAAACAAAACCAAAAAGAAACCAGAAGCTAAAGTTAAAGATGAGAGAAAAGAACAAACACTAAGTTTAGAGACAAGCACATCTGGAGGAAGAAAAAAAATGTCCTCCTTGGTCAACAGGAAGACAGGAGCTGAGCGGAGGCCACCGCAGGGCAGACAGGGCTGCAGCTGGAGTGTCAGTGGAGCGACGGGGGTCTGCTGGAAGGCACGCTCACTCTCCGAAGTGGAGACCCCATCACAGACCACGATGGAAACCAATGCGCGCTCATCTGAATAACCTCAGTAAGCACCTCAGATAAACCTGAAAAGAAAAGCTTTTGCATGCCTTTAATCCCAGTACTCAGAAAGTTGATGCAGGAGGATTGCTGCAAGTTCTAGGCCAGTATGGTGGGCTACTTGTTGAGTTCTGGGCTAGCCAGGGCTACAGACTAAGACTCTATCTCGAAAAACAAAATGGATAAAATTAAATAAAGAAAGAAAAAAAAAAGAGAAAGGGAAAACTTGTTTTTAGGGCAGTTATTCAGAGTAAAACCGGAGGAAAGCAAGCCGTGGCAACTGGGAATTAGTGGAGAGAAACAAGCTAACAAGACCTCTGGGGTTCAGAAGGGATGCACTTCATGAGCAAGAGGGGAAAAAATCCTCTTGCAAGAATGATAAAGGGAGACTAGGATTGGAAACAGTCGACCACTACTTTGCTACATTTCATCCCGAGTAACTGGTATTAGGTGGGTCTGGGAACACCTCCAAAAACACCTGCCCCACCTGGCAGCCTGCCAGCACTGCTGCCTAGCACACCAGGCCCAGCCTAGGCTGGTGGACCAGGGAACACTGCTCCTCAGTTCTGTGGAGGAACACTCACAGAGGACAAACAGGGATGGCACTAACCAGCACTCTCCTAAATCACCCACGACTGAATAAATTAGTCACTCAAGAACTCCAAGGGAAATGTCTTAAAGGTATCATGAAAGCGACAGTGCCTTCTTCATGGTGACTTGCTAACAAAACAACTTGTGTGTATCCTCTCTCTTTCCTCCTTCTTACTGTTGTTTTTTGTTTGTTTGTTTGTTTTTTGTTTTGTTTTTTGAGACAGGATCTACGTAGCCTTGGATGACCTTAAACTCACTATGTAGTGACTGAGGATGACCATAAGTTTCTGATTCTCCTGTCTCCATTTTTTTAGTGCCAGGATTACTGGAGTGTGTCACCATGACCAGCTATAATTTGAAAATTCTATTCTTTAACAATGATATTTATATAGAACCAAGAGATATCAAGCCCTTTCTGGAATGAAGTAGAAAATAAATAGTAGTAAATTCTGTGATGTGACCACATGTTTCAACTCCTTAAACTTCTGGCGTTTGTTTTTGTTTCTTCCTTGCACGAGCTACATTACGCCTTAAACATAAACTCAAGCCAGTGAGATGGCTCGGCAGGTAAAGGCGCTTGCCACTAAGCAGAACATGTGAGTTCAGTCCCAAGGACCCATGGAGTGGAAGGAGAGACCCAATTCCTGTAAGCTATCCTTTGGTTGCCATGTGCTGTGAGCTCCCAGATGCTCTGCTATGGCCCATGCCTGCAGCTTAACCCAAGTAAACAAATGTAATTACAAAAAATAACTTCTTAAATTTCTATAAGTCAAGCCAAGTATGGTGGCACACGTCTTTAATCCCAGCACTTAGGAGGTGGAGGCAGGCGGTAAGGTTAGCCTGGTTTACAGAATGGGATCCAGGATAGTCAAGGGTCATAGAGAAATCCTATCTTGGAAAAAACAAAATAAAATAATTTTTTTTTTGTAATTCATCAGATCCACAGACTCTACTAGGAAACTATTCTAAGGAAATAATAACAAATGAGCACAAACATGCGTACACAGATGTATGTGTTTGTGTGTGTGTCTGTGAGCATGCATGTGTGTGCACAGCAACATATAAGGATGTTCATGCTCTGGGATGTTGTTTAGCTGGGAGAGCTCTTGCTTAAGCAGGAAGCCCTGTCTACAGGTGTAGTGGAGCACACTTGAATCCCTACACACACGAGACAATGGCAGGAGGACCGGGAGTTCAGGGCCATCTTCAGTCATATATCAAGTCTGAGGCCATACTGGGATACAACAGACCTTGTTTAAACAAAAACAAAAGCAAACACAAAGAAAGATGCTCATGATTAATCTGGAGTAAAAAAAGATCATATAAGAAGCTATATTTGCCAGGTGGTGGTAACACACACCTTTAATCTCAGCACTCTGGAGGCAGAAGCAGAGGATCTCTGTGAGTTCAAGAGGCTAGCCTGACCTACACAAAGAAACCATGTCTTGAAACACAAAACACAAAACAAAACAACAAATAAAAATCAAAATCAACCCCCTCCCCCAAAAATCTACAATATATTATTTTCTTCTTCTTTTTCTCCTCCTCTTCTTGCTCTTCTTCCTCCTCTTCCTCCTCCTCTTTCTCTTCGTGAGACAGTGTTTCTCCGTGTAGCCCTGGCTGTCCTTGAACTCACTTTGTAGACCGGGCTAGCCTCAAACTCAGAGACCCACCTGTCTCTGCATCCTGAGTGCTAGTATTAAAAGCATACACCACCACTGCCTGGCTTCCAAGGCAACTCTTATCAGAGAAAGCATTTAATTTGGGGCTTGCTTACTTTCCGAGGCTTGGTTAATTATCATGGAAGGGAGCATGGTGGCACATGGACAGATGTGGTGCTGGAGATGAAGGCCACCCCTCCTGTCCTCCTAGTCTTCCCTGGTGACTAGGCATTCAAATAGATGAGCCTAGAGGGGCCATTCTTATTCAAAACATCGCAGGCATTATAAATATTTTCTTTTTAAATTCTAAAACAATCCTTTTCATGTGTGCGTACGCACATCACAGCTGAGGTGGAGTCTCTTCAGCACCCAGGTCCCAGGGACCGAACACAAACCCTCCTGTTTGGCGCTATGCACCCTCATCCACCGAGGCATCCTCTCGCCAGCTGTTGTGGTCTCTAGTTTCTCAACTTTACTTATTCAGTAAAGAACATCCTAAGTCTTTTCAAATATTAAACAAAAATAGGGTAAGAGTGTGTTAGAGAGTAAGTATGAACCCTCAACACTGTAAAATTAAAAATTAGCACATCAAACCAAGCCTGAGGGCCGCGCGGGCTGAGTTACAGCGCAGACCGGCTTCTGTTTGCTCTGCCTCCATGGCAGTGCTCTGGCAAACGCAGTCTATTGCCCACACTAAGCCCTTCTCTTTCTGGCAGAAATCCCGACACACTAATGTGTGTTTTCTGCCTTGTAGGCTAGACCGCTGTAATTTCCTCCTCCTCGGGCTATACATTAAATTTGTTCAGAAGCTGTAAGATTGCTCATTTGGTGGCAGCTGAGACGACTTTTTCTGCAAAGAGTTGTGAATCGCTAAGACTCCCAGGCCGTGAAGTATACACGTCAGCACAGCACCAGGGGATATCACAGCCGTGGACAGAAAACATTAAGGCTGCTGTGCTCACACATCTAAAGGGTTTTAAGTTTTAAGATGAATAGGCTGTCTTGGCCTAACGTCAAGTTTATTTGGGTTTTCTTCTAGGGAATGAGGCCTACAGAAGTCCCTGGCATTCTCTGTCAGGACCTGTCCTTGAGCTCCCTAGATGTTAGCACCATACTTATCCCTGAGTTTTGGTTGCTTGCCCCTTTAGGAAAGAGGAAGGGTGATAACCTGGATCTAAAACAAACGAACCAGGCCAGGAGATGGTGGCGCACGACTTTAATTCCAGCATTTGGGAGGCAGAGGCAGGAAGGTCTGAGTTTGAGTCCAGACTGGCTTATAGAGCAAGCTGAGTTCCAGGAAAGCCAGGTATACACAGAGGATCCCTGTCTCAAATCAAATTAAATCAAATCAAATCTAACTAACAAAATAAATAAAAATAAAACCAACAAACCAGGTTTTGTTTTAGTCTTTCTTTTTAAATTTGAAAAATCGATACATAGCTGGGCATCATGCCGCAAGCCTGTAACCCTGGCACTAGGGAAGCTGCGGCAGAAGGACCCCGAGTTGGAGACTAGCTCTGGCTATACGTGAGTTCAAGGGCAGCCTGGGCTATATAGAGGCTTTGTCTTTGTCTTAAAGAATATGCAAATCTAAAAAGCTGATATGTTTCTTTCAGAGTACCTTTTCTTTCTTAAAAAAAATTCTTTCTCAGAATTTTTTTTTTTTTTAATTTCTCTGTGTAGTTTTGGAGCCTGTCCTGGAACTCACTCTGTAGACCAGACTGGGCTCGAACTCATAGAGGTCTGCCTGCCTCTGCCTACTAATTCTTTTTTTTAAGGTTATTTATGTGTATTTTTATGTATGAGTGTTCTGTCTGCATGGATCCCTGCAGGCCAGAAGAAGCATCAGATCTCCTACAGAGGACTATAAGCCCCCATGTGGATGCTGGGAATTGAACTCAGGACCTCTGGAAGAGCAGCCAGTGGTTTTATTTTTTTAAAATTGATTTTATTGAGCTATACATTTTCTCTGCTCTCCCCTCTTCCCCTTCAACCCTCTCCCATGGCCCCCATGCTCCCAAATTACTCAGAAAATCTTGTCTTTTTCTACTTCTCATATAGATTAGATCCATGTATGTCTCTCTTAGGGTCTTCATTGTTGTCTAGGTTCTCTGGAATTGTGATTTGTAGGCTGTTTTTTTTCTTCTTGTTTAGAAACCACTTATGAGGGAGTGCATATGATAATTGTCTTTCTGGGTCTGGGTTACCTCACTCAATATGATGTTTTCTAGCTCCACCCATTTGCCTGCAAATTTCAAGATGTCATTATTTTTTTTTCTGCTGTGTAGTACTCCATTGTGTAAATATACCATATTTTCCTTATCCATTCTTTGGTCGAGGGGCATTTAGGTTGTTTCTAGGTTCTGGCTATGACAAACAATGTGAGCAGCCAGTGCTCTTAATCTCTGAGTCATCTCTCCAGTCTGAGATTTTATTTTTATTTATTTTTTTGTGTATGGGTGTTTTGCCTACATGTATGTCTTTCCATCACATGCATGCAGCTCCAAAGAGGACACAAGAGTGCACCGAATCCCTGGGACTGGAGTTTCAGATGGTTGTGAGTCTCCATGTGGATGCTGGGAGCTGAACTCAGGACCTAGTCAGTGCCCTTAGCCATGAGCCCTCTCTCCAGCTCCTTTCATTTTTTTCTTGTACACTTTCTTTGTGTCCACTTCATAACCAAAGATAAATTCTTTTTTGTTTTGGTGCTGGGCCTTAAACATTCTATAACTTAGCCACACCCCAGCCTTGACTAGGGCCTTTGTTTATTAGTTTAAAATTTATTTACATGCACTTGTGTTCTTTCAGGAGTCCATGTGCACACATACATGCAGGTGCTGACGGAGGCCAGAAGGTGGTGCAAATGCCCTGGAGCTGGAGTTCTGGCAGTTGTGAGCTGCCATGTGGGTGCTGGGAACCGAATCCAGGTCCTTAGTAGGATCCTGAGTGCTCCTAACCACGGCACTGTCTCTCTAGCCCTATTCATTTTATTTTTGGCTTCTTTAAGACAGGCTTTCAGGGCCCTGGAGCTCACTATGTAGACTAGAATGGTACAAACTTATAGTAATCCTTCTCCATCTGCCTCTGAGCTACACATGTCTGCCACCATGCCTGACTAAAACTTTTTTTCTTTTTGAGACATTTTCTGAAGCCTACGCTGACCTAGAACTTACTAGGTGGTCAGGGATTGTTTTAAACTCCTGATTCTTCTTCCTTTGCCTTCCAAGTGCTGTAGTTACAAGCACTTACCACCACTCTCGGAACTAAGTCATGTACCTTGCGCTGGATTCCATCCTTAGCACATTAAAAACAAAGTGTAGGGGCTGTCTAAGTAATGACCATTTAGGCCTAAGGAAGATGACTGAGACATGTGTAAAGACTTAAATTGTGGTAGGATAGACACGGCATGTGTTTGGGACTGGAGCTGAGCCTCTGCTTCCCGAGGGTTAGGATTAAGGCCTGCAGCTCCAATCATTTCATTTGCTTCCTCTTCTTCCTTTCTTTGGGCTAACCATTTTTAAATTATCGTGTACGTATATTTACGCAGTCTGCGTCCAGCCCCAGCATGGCTTTCATCTTATAAAACCCATCTCTTACATCAGGCAAAGCTCCCTACGGTCTCATTCCCAGCTCCAGTAACCACTCCTCCTCCTCCTTCCTGACTCTGTGAGTTGGACAGTTCTAACTACTTCACATGCATGGACTTTCTTGTGTATGTATTTGAAATTTGATTATTCTTAGACAAGATAGACTTTTCTCAGAAACAAACCTTAGCAATATCCTGACTGTGGATGTGACCCCCTGCCTTATTTCCTGCCTTTACTTCCCTGTGATGATGGACTATAACCTGGGACTGTGAGCTACAGTCAACTCTCTCTCTCTCCAGTTGCTTTTAGGTGGGGCATTTGATCACAGCCACAGCCAGGGAACCGGGACAGCTACCTCCACCTTGCCTGGCTGACAGCACTGGGAGCCGAGGGTGCGCTCACCTGTGTAGGTGTGATGTGGCTGATGTCCTCAGATGCGAGCTGTTTCAGCAGAGTCGTCTTGCCGGCATTATCCAAGCCCAGGAGCAGGATCCGCACCTCCTGGTCTGGTGCACTTTTCAGTTTGCGCAAAATAGAGAGCAAGCCCTTGGACAACCATGAAAGAGACAGATTACTGGGGGCAGTGACTGCGGTGTTAGTGACATCAGAATGACTTCCTGAACAAGGCTCTCGGTTGTGGACACCTCATTCCTTTCCACTCTGATGCCATGTGCTCCTTGCTCCTCCCTTCCAAGTCTTAGCAGAAGCGTGGGAACACACGTCCTCCTGCTCTCCCTTTCGGCCTGGCTTACGTCACCCCAGCTCTTCTCAAGTGTGAAGTGCCACCCATCCGTGCTCCTCAAGCCCTTGGTGGACAATTAGGCTGGAATATTCATCATAGCAAACTAGGTCACTGCTCATATTTCCCCATTTCCAGGGTGAAGCTTCTTGCCACGTAGAGAGATATGAGAATTACTTGCCCAATTTAATACAGGACTCTGAGGTGGTGATTGTGCCAAGAGACCTCACACAAACGCTGTCAATGTTCCTAAAACCTGCTGAACTCTTGAGAACTGTGCAACAAGCACCGCCCCCACAAAGTGACACAGTAAAGAAAGGGCAAGGATTCTGTGTGCTGGGGGAGTGACATTAGGACAGGAAACAGAGTGGCCACTAAGGTGGGCAGACCAAGCCAATTCTCAGCAAAAACGCTTAAACTACAAAGAACACTGTGCTGAGGTTTGAGCTCGTAGAGCCTCACTGTAGATCTAAGAGAACCCTGGCTATTAATAGAGATTAAAGACTGCGATCTGGGAGTTGATCAGAGCAGAAAAGGTCAAGTGATGAAGATCAAAGCCCAGTTTTTAGGATGATGGTAAGATCACAAGTTTAGCCACTTAAAAAAAAAAGTTTGTTGTTCTTTTTTTTTTTTTTTAAAGTTTTTGGAGACAGGATTTCTCTGTGTATCTCTGGTCATCCTGAATCTCCCTGTACAGACCAGGCTGGCCTCGAACTCACAGAGCTCCGCCTGCCTCTGCCTTCCGAGTGCTTCCTAAGGTGCTGTCAGAGACACAAATAGGCTGCAAGAAACAGCAGCTGCAGTCTACGCTTAGGCTCTGTTTGTTTCAATTTGTGTTCATGACTTCCGCTTTACAGGGTCGGTGAAATACAGAGAATCCCCGTTTTCCAGATGAAAAATCAGACATAACCATTAGGGAATTATACAAGGCATTCATGATCATGATTTAATCAGTGTTTAAACATTATTCTTTTTTATTATTTATTTTACTTTTTGAGATAGGGTTTTTCTGGATGTCCTGGAACTCACTTTGTAGACCAGACTGGCCTGAAACTCAAGAGATCTGCTGTCCTCTACCTCCGGAGTGCTGGGATTAAAGGTGCACATCACATATTATCTTTAAGTATGTGCATCCATGGGTATCTGTGCATGCGTTATGTGGACATGAATGCGGGTACATGTAGAGGCCAGGAGTCAGATTCACAGTTTCCAGGTCATTTTTGTGGTCGCTGGGAACCAAACTTGGGTCCTCTCCGAGAGCAGTCAGGGCTCTTAAATGTTGAACCATCTCTCCATCAAACCCTTTTCTTGGGTGGGAGGTGTTGGGCACTGAACCCAGGGCCTTGCCCATGACACTGACATATTCACTCAGCCCCTAGCCCTACTTTCTTATTTATTTATTTATTTTTTTTATGGTTTATTTAACTTTTTATTTTATGTGCATTGGTGTGAAGTGTCAGATCCCCTGGAACTGGATCTTCAGACAGTTGTGAGCTGCCATGTGGGTGCTGGGAATTGAACCCGGGTCCTCTGGAAGAGCAGTCAGTGCTCTTAACCACTGAGCCATCTCTCCAGCCCCCCTACTTTCTTATTTAAAAGGCAAGAAAAATTTTATCTTCTATTCATTTGTTTTGTCCTGCAGCTGACAGTCCTAGCCCAATAAGGCATGGTTCAAAAAGAATCAGGGACCAGATGTGTTGGTGCTCACCTTTAACAAACCCAGGACTCAGGTGGCAGAGGCAGGCAGATTTCTGTGAGTTCAAGGCCAGCCCAGTCTACAGAGAAAGTACCAGGACAGCCAGAGCTACAGAGTAAGATCCTGTCTCAACAAACAAACACACAAACGAATGAATCAAAGGTAGTTCAGTTTTAAGGGCATATAATCTAAGATCCCAGCCAGAGTCTTCTAGCCGAGTCTTAGAATATAGAATTACAGCTGGGTGATGGTGGCATACATGCTGTGGAATTCATCTCTGCATGCTGGGTGCTGTGGGAACTCCTTCACCCAATAGCCTTTAAGATACCCAGTTCCCAGTGCATGCTGAGGACTGCAGCTGAGGACCCTTTCTGTGAGTTTATCCCCAAATAAATAAACCTTTATTATACTCCTATTCCAGGCTACTGTGGGAAAACAAACAGGCCCTGCTCAAACTCAGATCTCCCCCCCTCCCAGCCTGTCTGCAGCCTTGTCCCACCCTATGCTGAACTACCCCTCTGGTGTGCAACTTTGCCAGGTTTGGCTCGGTTGGCCCGCTATGGCGACTTTGCCAACCGAGGCATTCACCTCCAACGTGGCGTCTGCCAGGCCTGCTCTGAGCAGGCCAAGCTCTGACTCCAGGAGCAGCGGCTCTAAGCCTGCACCTGGAACACAGGCTTGAAATGTCAGTTCGGATCCGTGAATGCCTGGCCCTAGCTCTGGTCATTAACCTCGCGGCTCAGAACTGCCTGCAAGCTCTGGGTTTCTTAACCTTCTGCCCAACTCAAACCTTTTCCATATGCAGGTGGGCTGCTTTTAAGTATTTAAATGCATTTGTTAGTAATTCTAAGTCTCAGGTAATTCAGGTACTGATCTAGGACCTGCCTTACTGCCACAACTCTGACACCTGCTGGCCAATCCAGATTATTACACCTACAACAATTTTCTGAAAATTATAACGGAGGTAAATTAATTTGACTAATAAATAAATAAATAAATTTGAAAATTGTAAACCAACCTCAAGATAATGGAAGACAGTATCACCATCCAGGAATTTAACAACCTTTTTGTTTCTACTACACGGATGGAATTCTGCAAGAGCTATATGAGCTACTTGGTATATATATTTTTGTGATCATGGCAGCTATTAGCTTTGTTCTTCATATTATATCCTTAAAGAAATGTTTTCATAACAGAGTTAAGAATGAAAAACTTGCCGGGCGGTGGTGATGCACGCCTTTAATCCCAGCACTCGGGAGGCAGAGGTAGGTGGATCTCTGTGAGTTTGAGGCTAGCCTGGTCTACAAGAGCCAGTTCCAGGACAGGCTCCAAAGCTACAGAGAAACCCTGTCTCGAAAAACCAAAAAAAAAAAAAAAAAAAGAAAGAATGGAATGATACAGTCTCTAGCTAAAAGGATTCATACTATTGTAAATGATAACCTTAATTTGACAGGCAAAATTCAATCCATGTCAATGGGTTATGAAAATTTACAAAAGGGTACTGAGAGATTATCTGAAAGGATTCATACTGTTGAAATTCACAATCAAAATCTGTTAAAAAGTTATGGTAAATTTAGCAGATAGGATATTCCTCCTAGAAGGCAATCTACATGCCATCAGATCTCATTACAGATCAAATTCTTGGCGAGGGACATTATGATGAGCAACAGTCAAGCTATTTACAATGAACACATCTTGTCCCTATGCCATACAGCAGCCTTGAATGCTTGGGACAGGATTCAAGAATCAAGAAGAACTGAATCATATACTAAGGTCATACAAGCTCCAAGAGAACCCTTTAACTAACTAAAGCTGTACAAATAGGGGTAACAGATCCAGAAGCTAGACAAATACTTATTGAATCTCTGACTTTTGAAAATGCCAACTTAAATGCAAAAAGATACTTGGGCCTTTAAAGGTCAGGTCAGCACTAATGGATGAATGGATCCTGCACACAGCCAATGTTGAGTCCTTTGACTATAACACTGAGGCTTGGGTAGAAGAAGCAATTTCCAAAGGTAAAAAGAGACATCAAAATGCCAAATGTTTTAATTGTGGTAGAATAGGACATCTGAGAAGGGATTGTAGACAAGGTATTCCAAGAAATAACGTTTCCTCTGGGAATGACAAAAATAGAAGGCCCCAAACTTCTGGGTTATGCAGAAGATGTGGCAAAGGCCAACACTGGACCAATGACTGAGATCAACAAGGAACAAACAAGGCAAACTGTTACCATCAGGAAACTCCTTGGGGTACTCTCGCAGGTCCCCAGGTCAAATGTGGTCCAGTCATTCCCAGTCACTGTGGAGGACATGCCGCTCTGGGAAAATTAGAAAATCCAGTGACTGTTGTAAAAAACCATACTGCTCTGAACGATAGTAGAATAAACATGGAGGATGAATCAAAAATTCCAATAGAAAATAGGAAATATATATTGTGGCAGACTTCTATACATGATCAAAGACCAAAGTTGAGCATGCAAATAAATAACATTGTAATTGATGGATTACTGGACACGGGTGTAAATGTGACTATTATTACTCAAGAATCTTGGCATCCAGATTGGCCTCTTTAGGAGGCAGATGTTCAATTCCTAGGAATTGTAAGTCTATCTCAAGCAAAACAGAGCATGAGATGGGATAGATGCATAGGGCCAGAAGGACAGAGAGGAAGGCAGAGTGAATATGTGGATAATATAGCAGCGAATCTATGGGGTTATGATCTGTTGCAGCAATGGAATACCTAGATTAACATTCCTGCAGTCTCAGAAATAGAACATAAACTAACTCATATTTCTGGGAAGGATATTATAAGGTACTATATTAAAAAAAAAACAGCCATTCAGGCTGTTCAAACACACAAAACAACTAGCCAACTTTGAGAGATACCTACCTTTAAAATGGTTAGCTAAGAAACCAATATGGGTTAATCAATGGCCTTTAACAATAGAGAAACTGCAGGCTTTACAACAGCCGGTACAAAAGCAACTAGATATTCAGCATATTGAAGAATCGACCAGCCCTTGGGATTCTCCTGTATTTGTCATTAAAAGAAATCTGGAAAATGGAGAACAATGACAGTTCTGAGAGCAGTTATAAGGTGATTCAACAAATGCACCCTCTATGATCTGGAATTCCTTTGTCTTCCACATTGCCTCAAGGAAGGCTTCCTATAGTCATTGATTTAAAGACTGTTTCTTCACTATACCTTTACAACAAAAAGACAGAGAATAATTTGCCTTCATAGTGCCTACTTATAATTCTCAGCCTACTAAAAAATATCAAAAGAGGATCATCCCACAGAGAATGTTAAATAGCCTTACCCTGTGCCAATATTTTGTAAGTCAGCCATCGGAAATAATATGTAAGCAATTTCCTGAATTTATACCATTACACGGATGACATTTTGCTATCTGATTAAAATGTAGATACTTTAAAAAGAATGTCTGAAGAAGTAAAGGAAGTTTTGCCTAGTTGGGGATTACAAATTGCTCCTGAAAAAAAATACAAAGAGGAGATTCTATCAATTATCTAGGTTATAAAATAAGTTTACAGAAAATTAGAACTCAAAAAGTGCAAATTAGGAGACATTGAATTGCAGACTCTTAATGATTTCCAAAGTTGCTAGGAGACATTTCTAATTTATGGCCCTTTCTGGGATTACACCTCATCAAATAATTCACTTAAACAAAACCTTAGATGGTGACAAAGACTCAAAGAGTTCCAGAGAATTAACAACTGAAGCTGAGAAAGAACTGACTTTGATTGAAAGAAGTCACAAGAGGCACATGTGGTCATATTACCCTCCAAATATTCCCCTACAGGAATTTTAATGCAGAGGGAAGATATTATCTTAGAATAGATCTTTTTTTTTTTTACCATATAAACCAAGAAAAAATAAAATCTTATGTGGAAAAGGTCTCTTAATTTATTATGAAAGGAAAACTGAGACTTCATCAATTAGCAGAAATAGACCCAGCAGAAATTTAGTACCTTTTACTAATGATAAAATTAAAAAGTTATGGAAAGACAATGAACCATGGCAAAGAGCTTGTACTAATTTTTGGGAGAGATTAACAACTACCCTAAAAGTGATAGAATTAACCTTATAAACAGAGCTGATTGGATCCTTCCTCGCATTGTACATGACACACCAATAACTGGAGCCTGCACATTCTATACTGATGCAAATAAATCAGGAAAGGCAGGTTACAAATCAGAAGATTTAAGTAAAGTAGAACAAACCCCTTATGAGTCTGTTCACAAGTCAGAATTATATGCTATTCTCATGGTACTAAGGGATTTTAAAGAACCTCTCAATATAGTCACTGATTCACAATATGCAGAAAGAGTTCTTTTGCACACTGAACTATTGAATTTATACTAGATATTACAGAATTGACTTCATTCTTTAGTCAAGTTTAATATATAATCAAGAATAGGCTTTGTCTCATATACATAACACACATTCAATCACATACAGATCTGCCAGGGCCTCTAGCACAAGGTAATGCAGAAATTGATTATTGATTAGAAATGTGCTGAAAATCTCAGAATCTCATAAAAAACATCATGTCAATAGCAAAGGTTTAAAAAAGGACTTTTCTGCTACAGGGCAGCAGGCTAAGCAGATCATAAGGAGATGTCCTACTTGTTCTTTATATAACCAAACGCTACTACCTGCAGGAAATAACCCAAAGGGTACTCAAATAATGAAATCTGGTAGATGGATGTGTTCCACTTCGCAGAATTTGGAAAACTAAAATACATATACCATATCATTGATACCTATTCAGGTTTCTAATGGGCAACTGTTTTGAGTCCAGAAAAGGCTGATTTAGTAATCACACATTTACTAGTATGGTCATCATGGGTATACCTGCACAAATAAAGACAGACAATGGTGCAGCATATGTCTCTAAGAAAATGAAACAGTTTTTTATTATAATTTAAAGCATATTACAGGTATACCATATACAGCTCAGGTAGTTATAGAAAGATCAAATCAAAGTATAAAGGATATGTTAAACAAACAGAAAGGGGTAAAACATATCCTTAGAAATAGATTGCATAATGCTTTATTAACCTTGAAATTTTCTTAATGCTAATGAAAAAGAAACAATGGCAGCAGAGAGACACTGGATAATAGGAAAACTTGAATTAAATCGGCCTGTGTATTTCAAGAATGTGTTGACCTCAGAATGAAAACCAGGAGGTGTGCTACATTGGGGAAAGGGGTTTTGCTCCTGTTTCTGGAGAAGAAAAGCTATGGATACCATCAAAATTAATTAAGACTTGATTTGAAAAGGAGAAACCTCTTGATAAAGAGAAATGACGGGGGGAGGGGAAGCTGGAGAGATGGTTCAGTGGTTAAGAGCCTTGCCTGCTCTCCCAAAGATCCTGAGTTCAATTCCCAGCAACCATATGGTGGCTCACAACCATCTTAATGAGATTTGGTGCCCTCTTCTGGCCTGCAGTGATACATGCAGGCAGAACACTGAATTCATAATAAATAAATCTTTTAAAAAAGAGAGAAATGATGGCTCATTCACAGAGATGACAATCCTACAGGTTGTAAAGAAACCTCACAAGGGTTGGGGCAGGATTCTGTTCTTGTCTTTGCAGGAAAATACCTATCTTCGAAAAGTCAAGAGACCTTGGATATCTAGATGCATAAAGAACCACCACCAAGCAAAAAGAAATCTGACTTATGATACCAATATCCTCTGAAGGGTAAGATATTAATACCTAAACATACATATAATAGTAGTCTTCATTTATTAAAAATCAAAGTTGGCTTTGGAGTTGGACAATGGCTATCCTTCTCTAAATACAAGTATGTTGTTAAAAGAAAAATTCAGAGTTTCTGTCTCATATCAGGAGCCACCTGGTATGGGACAGAAGAAAGATTAAAATCTAGGGACAACTATTATCAAAACTCTGCTTTCAAAAATTTTACTTCTCTCCATACCTATTTTTGTTTCTATGGTACCTTTCTTTGAATATATGTCTATAGAAATAATGTTTTAAGTTTTTACAATCAACAATAAATTTTCCTACAGTAATCTTTAAAGTCTCCAGGAAGAAGATGGGGACACACAACAACGATTCTACCTGGTTGATATGATCCCATTATGTTGGTAGCACCATTTTAAAAGATTGGTTTTGTGTTACAAACTGCTCAAGATGATTCCAAATTGGCTAGATGAGATGGTGCACCTTCTTACAAGGTTCTGACCAGAATTTCAAATAAGAACTTCAGAAAAACCCTACTGACTACTCAGAGACTATCTTCAATTGTACCAGACAGTGATCTTGAAACTTAACCATCATTTTAGTTTTACAGGATCCCATAGGAATAACATTGCCTCCATGAGAGCTGTAAGTAATTTTAGAAAATAACGTCTCCTCTCCCAACAAAGTTTGTCCTCAGGGCTAGGGACATTATTAGGGGTTAGTTATAAGTGGTATAGGGTTGGGGTTGCAAATAAAGTAGACTCAGGGATCTCTCTTAGAAAAAAAGGGGGGGAATGGATGGGATAATAGGTAGATTAGTGTGAGCTTAACCAAAATAATAATAATAATAATAATAATAATAATAATAATAATAAATAATAGTGAGACTACTTATGAGCTATTATTTGTAGACAATTTACATTGGTATAGATTCTTGTATATTGATACAAATTGAAATTATATTGCTATATTGAATATGCTCCTATTTCTGTTTACAATATTTGTGCACCTATGCAAAGTTATTTTGTCATATTATACACATGCATGTTTCTATCTCTGCTTAAGATATTTTGTATATTGATGCAATTTTAGGATATATTTATTATACTGCACTATACATTTCTACCTCTGATCAAGATGTTTATATATTATTTACATTTTGAGGTCATTGTCCTCATTTGCTGCATATTTGTTTAAAGATTGCTTAATTTTTTAATATAAAGCCTTAGTCTTTAAGCTATATAGGCATTAAGAATTACAGGTCAACGCCATCTATTTGTCATACTTATAGTTAGACTAATCAGGTTTTTTAAGATACATAGAGATTGCATTCTGCATAGATTGGTAATCTTCAAACACTTCAAAGAACTGTAGAATATGGCATTTAAATAATTTAGGACTCTGTTGCCATGAGACACAATTGCTCCTGGCAGCACTGATCTACTCCTGAGAGAATGTTGGGCACTGAAGACATGCCAGTCGGAGCTTGTTTTCTTCTTGGCAAAACTGGCCCTTGAGCAAAGAACTGCCCCTGCCTCTACCATTGACAAAATGCATGGTGGACAAGCAGGAAACAAGCA